AATAAAAATTTGGATAATTATTTATATAATATTCATATTATAGCAATTGTTATTAATGATTGAATTAAAATATCTGTAATAGTTATTACACTAATATAACTGACAGGTTATGGGACATCTGTATAAATATAGTATTATTCAAAGAAATACAAACTGACAACTAAACAATACAAACACTAGATAAATCTTTGTAGTCATATAAATCTATTGAAATTAGATAACAAGAAGTCTATTTAGAAAAATTTAAATAGAAAAGTAATTAAATTTTTAATAATCCTACTATAAAGATTAGTTTAAGAAAACAGATACCAAGGTTGTAATAACTAGACAGACAAAAACCTTTAAGTTAGGAGTCTTGAAGATATTACTAACCAAGCTATTAGAATAAACTAAAAAAAAAAGATATTAAAATGACTTGATATATTAATAAACTAGTTATAGTCTTATATAGACTATCTGAATTAGAAGTTTAATAAAAAACTAAAGATATATTAAAGTATTGAGATTATACTATAAAGTAGATATTAAAATTTAAGTAAACTCTATAAAGACATAACAGTTAAATAATATAACTTTTGATTGCAAGTATTAGTTTAGTTATAATATTATTAGATCAACTATAAAAATAAGTGCAGAAGGTTTTAAAAGATTTATTTTGAAAATAAAATAGTTCTAAAGTTGAGATAATAATCTAAGTATCTAATATGACTCAATGATATTAACATAGATTGCAGGTTTTAGAAAATTTAAAATAGAACACCTAAGCAGAAGTATTAGATATAACAATTGGTAAAAAACCTTTAGATGAATTTTTTAAATAAAAAATATAGAAAAGTTACACATGTAGCTAATTGTATATTCTTTTGTAATAGTTCATTGAATCATATTATCAAAAAAATCATTAATAAAAAGTCAAAAGACTAAAGAGATCATCTTAATACTAAAAAATAAAAAATAAATCAAAACAAATTCAAATTAGTTTAATATTTGATTTGAAAAATTAAATCAAATTTAAATGAATCTAATATTTGATTTGATTTGGATTTGCAGAACTCTAGTTTTCAATATTTTATAATACTTTTATTTTTAAAATTTTCTAATTTAATTAATTACAAATAATAAATAATAGATGTATTAAATACTATATGTTAAGAAGCAATAACAAGATGTTTTTTTATTTATTAAAGTAATTTCATCAATTATTATACTTCAATTAACTAACAACTTAATTTCATTAATTAAACTTGTTTTGATTACATGCATAATTGCTTTAGCAAAGTTTTGAGTTGCAATAGAATTTAACTTTAACTAATTTTTATACTAAAAATTTAAATAATAAAGGTGTTAAAGAGATATTATTACTACTAATTAAACTACAAAGATCAAAATATATATTAAATAAAAGATGTTTTTTGTTACAAAATAAACACATTTCATTTAATAAATAATTTTACAATCATTCTCAAATAGCTGGTTTGGTAATATAAACCAAATTGTTGTTTTGCTTTTTGGTGTTTTTGATATTTTTCTTTATGCTGTTTAATAATATTTCTTTTAAAAATATCAGTCTCTCGAGTAAATATATTATTATAATTTGCCTTTTTACACCATTTACAAAACATTAATAAAGTTTTGTCGATTTTACAGTACTCCAACCATTTACATTCTTTAAACTAAGCCGAACAGGATCTAAATTTTGTGATTTTTTTTTATATAGTTCTCGAGAATTTGTTCCTTTAGTGATCTGACGTTTATTATAATTCATGTTTAAGTAACGAATTACAAATTGCAAAATTTTAATTCACTTTTATAAAAATTATATAGTTATTATAACTTCTTTATTTCTTTATATGTACTAATTATTATGATCTATATTTTTTTGATTTTTATTCACAGATTATTATAGTTTATCCTTTTTAATCTACCTTCGATTATTATGATCTTTATTTTTTCGTATTTTTTCTGTTAATTTACCGGTATTTCTGTATATAAAGGTTAGTTTGTTAGAAAAATAGTAATTGTCAAGAGTATTCGTAATATATATATAAAAAAATTTTATAGATCATTTTTAACCATTTTGAAAACAGCGACATCTTTTTATTAACAACAATATGATGTCGAATGCCATGCCTCAGTAGGCTCTGACAATAATTTAGACGATAACGATAATCTAATAGGTTTAATGCATATTCGTTATATCCTTCTCGCAACCCTCAACAATCACCCTAATATTGTTAGACCAATAAAAAAATATCAAATAAGGGGTTAAGACTAAGTTTAGTGACTCTATTCATCCCATATGATCATATATAATGTAGAGACACTTCACTCACCATAAAACAATACACTACGTTGTATGTTGTACAAACTACATTCCCATCTCTACAAAATGTAATTCACGTGGAACAAATGATCTGAATATATCATTTATGTATAATCGAAATGGTTTATTGTTTTTCGTTCAATATATTGATAATAGTGAAAAAATTAGGTTTGATATATTAAAATTTTTATTGACATATACCTAATTGGAATTGGGCATGTGTTTAATAAAAGGTTTAATATTTCTGGTCAATCCAATTGTCAATACTGTCTTTATAATTATTCTTGTGTAGTTAGGAATCCAAAATGAATGTGAAGAGTAAATTATTTTAAAATGATATTAGATAAGTTTAAGATAATTATGATACAACAAGAAAAAACAATATGTTATCATTTATTAGAGAAATCAAATTCACCTCAAACAAGATTATTGTCATGTATCTAATATATCAATCACAATTTACAGGTATGGTTTCTTTAAACCTTTGGAAAACACAATATTTACATTGCAATTTGGTCTGTTTCCAATTATACGATATGCAACTAATAATAATTTGTTTACAAAAATGATATATGCAGCATCAAAGTTAGATTTAAAGATCGATCTATTAGATTTAAGTATAAATTACAATAATAAAAATAATAATAAAACGAAACCACTATTCTTCCGAGATATCAAAGTTATTTCTATTCAATTCATATTCTTTTTGTTTTCGAAAAAACACCTTTTCCTTCATTATTCATACCTTTTTATTTATAGTATTGTCGTTGCTCGAATTCAAAGAATTTTTCGTATAGTAATTCACCAATGTTCTTAATCAAATATGCGAAATAATGTAGAACTATTAGCTTTAAAAGTTCCAAATAAATATTATCTAGCAAAATAGGATTTTACAGTATATAAAAAAACAAAATTTTAAATACAAGAAACTACGTAACGCCTTTCTACATAAAAAATTGTTAAAATCTAACTTTTTTATACGTACACTTTTTAGTTTATTCAAAATTAGTCTAATACAGTAAAAAAGGGTAAATTTCAAATTTCAAAGATCTCTAGTTTTGAATAAATCAAATATATATTAATAGTCGGTAATACGTTACTTGCAGTATTTAATTCATTGAAATTGGGCGGTTTCACTTTTAAAATTAACTTGATCAAAGACCAATCAATAAAGAATAACTATATCTTAAAAATATTTTTTCTTTAAATCAAACATTCTGGATATGATCGAATATATAGTTCTCGAAATTTCAATAAATAAGTGTAAATCACATGTTCTTGAAATTACATTGCAATTGAAAATTTGCTTAATAAATTAATCTAGTTATAAATGTACAAAAAGCACCATTTATATAATCGTGATTACATAAGTAAATGCATCCAATTTAAACAGATAGTTTTATGTGACTGACAAGTCATTAGTTTAATATAGCAAGCTTATTTTTTGATTTTTAAGTTAGCTAATATCGACGAGAGAATACTAATTTTCCCCATAGTTCCTATTGGACGAAAGCTTTTCGATCAAATAATGGAAATGTCGTTGAAGGAATTGTTTTTGTTAGAACACGAAAGGTGGTTTTGTAACTAAAATTTTAAGTTACAGACAATTTTTGAAAACTTCAAAAACTTCTAGGGATGTTAAATTGCGAATTTTGTATTGTTATAATAATTCAAGTCCTATAAAATGTATTGTGTTTTCAAGTAATTTAAGGACCGATCCTGCAGGTCCTTGGTCCCAAAAGACCGATTAACACCTGATCTTATAATTTGATTGGTAGACGAAAGGGCGTAATCGACATTGTGTCTTATTTTATAAACTGATTTTTTATATAGGGTGATGTCATAAGTCTGCATCTATAAATCAGAACCGTGGGGAGAAATTAGGGATCCCGCATGACGATTGATTTTTTCTTTCAATGGATTTCTACAACACAAATTCGGACTAGCGACAGAATAATTCGGCATTATAGAACGAAGCTGAAGGGTAATCGAGCGAAAATTTTAGATAGCATAAAAAAAGACCTTCAAAAGATTGTGGTTTCTCCCAATTTCGACAATGCGCGAAGAAATAAATCCCAAGAAATAATTGATCGATGGAAGGTAGGATGAATTTAATTATTCAAGAGCTTAGTCCAACAGTTATGAACTCTTAGTTCGACACTTAAGTGCAAGCTAGGTCTCTTAGACACTAGTTATGAACTCTTAGTTCGACACTTAAGTGCACGCTAGGTCTCTTAGACACTAGTTATGAACTCTTAGTTCGCACTTAAGTGCAAGCTAGGTCTCTTAGACACTAGTTAACTCTTAGTTCGACACTTAAGTGCAAGCTAGGTCTCTTAGACACTAGTTATGAACTCTTAGTTCGATACTTAGTGCAAGCTGGGACTCTTAGTCTAAAGGATAGCTACCTACAAATATTAATATTTTAATTTATTTTTTTATTTTTTAAGGACTTTTCAACTATCTCAGGTATATTTGATACACCGGAGAAGAATTTGAAACGTCCTGGGATAACCAAAATGAACGTAAGTTATGCTCTGACATTTTTAAAAGAAAAAAATTAGCTAAAATTTAGCTATTAGGCAAGAAAGTTAAGAACCTGACAACGGGCAGCAAAGCACAGATTAATGAAATACATCACGTCACGTTTGTGCAAGATTATATTCATAACAATGAAATGGATAGTACCGCTTGTTTGCAATCAGAATTCTCACTCAAAACCTCAATACAACCTTCTAGAGATATGAGCCCATTGATGTCGACGCCTAAACAAATGACCGTTGGAAAAAGAAGTCCAGAAGTAAGTTTCCCATTTTTACTTGCTATGCATTATTTAACTAATACAAAGCATTCTAATTTGTCTTGCCGTACAATCCTCCAGATACTCCGAAAATATATCCGTAGTATGTGCTTTTAGTAAAACAACCTCTGAGCTATGCTTTCTTTTCGACGACTATAAATTTACATCTAAAACCGGCAATAAACAACATCTGGCCTTCACTCTAAGACATAAATTATTATGTTTAATTCGGTAATCTTTTAATATTTAATTATATTTCTATCACGGAGATAGTCCCTTTAACCAAGACAGAGAGCCAGTTAGGTGTCCTTCCGAAACACCGAATAGAAAATTTTTTAATGTTGGGTTAAGCCAGGTGTTTCGACCAACATGTTTAATATAACATTCACTTGTGACCCATTAACTAATGCAACAACTTGTGATAAAGCAAAAAAATCATTTGAGAAATATTTACCAGCGTTTTGCTATTGAATACTCCAATACAAATAAATGCTAGCCTAATACCATTGTCTGATAACACAATTTTAGGTGCGTCATTATTTCATTAATAATTTATCTTATTTTAACTAGTTTATCATTTATAACATTTTTGGTAATTAGGATCAGTGGCACCGGCTCGATAATTCCATTAAAATGTAAAGATGATAAAGTCCGAAATTTTCCACAATCTTTAGTCAACCATTTTCAATTCTCTACACATCCAGAATATGCTACCGATGATATTACTGCTGTATTCAATTCTGGCTCGGATTTTTATTTAGAAGACGATCCAATGGTCAATCCTCAACAGATAGGATTTCTAGAATTAATAGTACATGAAATCGTTCATGTTCTAGGACTTATGACAAGTTGGAAGTCCCTTTTAAATTCTAATATAACCACTGAATTAGTTCCAAGATTAAACATATCATTAGATATTGATCAAACTAAACCTGTAACATATTATGGATTTGTTGAAACTATTTTTGACGCATCTTTAGTAACATCTGAAGGAGATAAATTTTTAAAGTTTACTGATCAATTAAACAAGTTTACTCTGTTCGAAACAAAATTCCAAACTCAACAGGCTTTTGTGAATTCTTTTATTAATTCAACACAATATAATACAACAAAAAAGATGTTGAACTATTCACAAACACCATACTCTGGTATTTTTAGCAAATCCTCATTCCGAACTAATATGGTTGGAAACTAGCTTGAACCCATATGTGAAAGGAAGTCGTATATCACATTTTAATCTACAAATTTATCATAATATGACCGATCTTTTAATGACTTATCTGCACACCTGGTCGATCTTTGGAAATTTCTATGAAATTACTATTATTACTTGAAACTGTCGGGTAACTATTATCACTTGCATGCGCATATAACTGACGATATGTACTCTAATACTGACACATCACGTCTTAATATTTTAGTTATGCAACACCTAGCAATCCAAACCCTGAAATACCGTCACCAATAGATCCTCCTCCAACAAATATAACAAAGACATCGAATGATTATAACATCAGTAGTTCCAGTAGTTCACCTACCATATCACAACCTACCTATTCCAATGCATTATCTAATATCAGATGTGTTATAATAATTATGGGTGGATAAATCTTGTAATTAGTTTGAGTATTGATAGATGGTTTTTTTTGCAAGTAGAAGGTTTTAAATTATAAATAGTCGTTAAATAGTTTGATAAATAATTTAAATAAAAATATAATTATAATAACCTGAGGTGATCATCACCTCACTATTTTTAGAGTTAGGATGCAATTTAAAACCAAGACAGGGGTTAAATATAATATCTCAAATATATGTTACACAAGGTTTTGGAGGGTTCTGAACATTTTTACTTAGTATATCTGACCCCTATTTCTTAGTTCCGTTTTTGAGATATAGCATTGAGGTGATGATAATATTCATTTAAAATATATATTGAAATTGTTTATTGAACTAATTATATATTTAATATATAATGGTTTTAGAAATAGGTGAAGAGTGTGCTATTGAACTATTTCTTTATGGACATTCGATTTGGAAGAATATCTGGATAGCGTCCTTAAAGAGGCCGGAAATGAGACATTATGTTAAAAAGCCAGATGAGCTATTCCGATTATATTGTGAAAAGATTCTTGTCGATTTGTAAGTAAAGTTTATTATCTAATATTGTATCAAAATAAATATTAATAATTGTTTCTTTTTTAGTTATCATCTTGTAGATATTCATCCTAAAATAGACCGAAAAATCCGAGAAAATAAATTTGTAATATATCAAATATCTTCAATATTTAAATTCTATGAAACAACATTTTTTTACACTTGATTTTGACTGGATTGAAAGCCATTCACATTCTTCAAAATAACGAAATCTGAAATTAATTCTGGAATAGCAACAGTTGGTGCTAAAGCAATTCGGAATTCAGATGGGTTGGAAATATGGCATATGGAGGTTGCAGGTGGCCATCTGATGCAATCAATAAACAAATTCTAGAAGATACGAAGAAAACTATCAAAACCGATATTGAAGTTTTAAGAAACTACATCCATTGTATGTGCAACTTGCAACAAAAATAAAAGTATATTGTACTCTGGTTATTGGTAAGTAGTGTACGTGATTTCATAATAGAATTTTTTGATATTTATCTTTTGGCTTATATAGG